TTAATAAATTTTTGGGCTTTTGCCTTTTATTAGACAGGACAGACTTAAGCATGAAGGGGGGGAGAGGAGGGGGTGACACGCAGCAAAGGAATGGAATCAAATCCACAGTCATGTGTGTTATTGGTCCACCTCAGCGCCCGTAATTTCAAATCCGCCAGAAACCCCAGTTAAAGATTATCAAGACTGGTTGAACCAGCAGATGGTGGAATAACTTTGAGAGTGAGATTGTTGTTGATGAGGAGAGGAAGAAAAACTTTTGCATGTCCACGCAGCACTCATATGAGTGAGCTTCTTTGTCCTGATTTCAAAGGGGAATGAGATGAGGTCTCCAATAGGTGTTTTGAAAAAGGTAATGTGGACAGGATTATTTTTAAAGGGGAGGCTAAAAATATCTGTTTTCAAAAGTATCTGTATACGTGTAGACAGGGCCAAAAAGTTGTTACTGATATAATTTGACTGCACCTTGATAACACCAAATAAAAGGAAACTTTGAGGGGTTTCATTTAACAAACAGTCAGAGAGAAAACTTTACTACTCTGTCTCACCATGTTTGGATCCTGTCAGCAGTTGTTTATGCCTGAACATCCACCAGCTCAGGGGGCATGGGAGACTTGGGGTGTTTGCTCTCAAAGTGCTGTTTGAAGGTCTTGGGGTCGGGCATCTGTGTCTGAAAAAGACAGAAAAAAAAAATCATAGTTTCAGTTTATTTTATCTAGTCTATTAATAAATCAGTTGACTGAAAGCATTTTAACCTTTGTCATAATTGGAGAGTCCTACAGAAAATTATTCTGTGCTTAAACTGTCATTTAATGAACTGGTGTTTTCAACTGTGATGTTGCTTTGGATTAAAAAAAAAAATAAAATTAAAAGTCAAAACATAGTACATCATAGAAAGAAGAGTCATAGTATAGTATAGTATAGTATATATACTATGCCATAAAGTTTTTTTTAAATTCATAGTGTAGTGTGCCAGAAAAAAAGTTCAACATGAGTCATAGTGTAGTATGTTGTACAAGGTAAAAGTCATAGTATATTATGACTCCATTAGCCTATCAAAGACATACCAGTATCTGCCTATATGTTGTCATATATGTGCCAATATGAAAATGTTTTTACAGAATTTGAGACATAAAAAGATGCCTGGAAACAAAGTAATTACATTGTTTGTCCGGCAGACCATGGTAACCTATTGTCCGACTTACAAAGCTGCAGTAATGTCTACCCTATCATGTCATTCAACACATGGAACAAGAACTTTTAGAGTCACTGTAACAAACTATATCTGAGGTCAAGAAGTGTAACAGCCAACTCACTAACGGTTCACACTATAAACCAGAACAAAAATGACTATTATTACCATAAACCACCATGTTCTGAGCAGACACATTAACAAAAAGTAACATCTGCTGTGGAAACAAAAACCAGCAAACTCAACAAAATATTCAGTCCCACGTTAGGCAGGCATGATGGGAAATTAGGGTCGCTGCTATCGCTAAATCCAGCAGCGCTTGCAGTGCGCATCATAGCTGAGCAGATAATGGAGTGGTGTCAAGTCTTAATGATTAGTTGCCATGTAGTTTGTGAAATACATTACAGATGAGTTAATAAACATCATGATCACTTGTTCCTTTCACTGAACAACAATGACTGAAATATCCGAGTTCAGGATATATCTACCGATATTTCAATATCGGAATTTTTTACTCCCTAATATTGGAATTGGGATCAGTTCCCAAAATAAATTATCTGTCAAGCTCTAACCAGCAGTCAGCTGCAGGTGTTGTACTCACCCGGCAGACAGGGCAGGTGTGGACCAGTGCGGCCTTTGCTGCACTCTTCTGGTCAGCAGCTTGACCTTTCTTCTTTTCTGCTGCCTTCTTGGCGTTCTTTTGCTGAGACTGAATCTTCTGCTGCCCACGAGCCATGGCCCTCAACTTTGACCTAAAGGAATGACAAAGAGAGACCACCGATTACTTTTATGGCACATATTGTAGATCACAGCCTGCACAGGTCCATGAAAACCAGCACCCGCCAATCCCTGCAAAGCTGAGTTTGAGAACCAACCCGTTATCCGCCATTATGTCTAAGTCAAAGCCGCACACGCCCACACCCGTTAAGTCCTGCAACCCAACCCCGCATTTGTGATCAAACACACGGAGGCTACAGCCACATTAAGTTGGGTTCTCTGCTCTTGAATTACGAATCCAGCAGAGTAAAAGTCTCTTTGCATTCGATGCCGAGCAAAATCATTATGTGCAATCACAGCCAGGTTAGGAAACATTTTAGCATGCTCCTTCCACCACCATAGAACCTCAAAAGGATCCTCCTTGGGTGTCTTGAATACGCTGCCACGTCATCCTCGGGCTGTAAAGTTTCATTGCTGGGGTCCTCCACGTTGGTGACGAATGTGACGTGACGGTCAAAGGTTTGATTTGTGTCATTAACTTTCAAAATAAAAGGAACTGCGGCTTCATAATAGTGAAAATATTAATTATATACTGCAGATCTTTTTTTCCCCCATTTGTATTATTCTGAAAAATAAATGCAGGTTGGAAAATGACCAGCAGCAGGTACATTTTGGGTATAAAAAGCTGGTTTAAGTAAAAGAAAAAAGAATTAGCTAGATAATATTTTTGAGGTCAAAATTTCAAATATAATGATATATAATTTAAATATATCATTATTGGTTGTTTCCTATGTTTAACTACATACACAATCTTATTATGAATGAAAACAGCCAATCAGACCCAAAGACTGACACAACTGTCAACCATGTCAATCACTGCTTGTGAGCTGCGGTCAAACTGTTAACCTGGGCAGCGCTGATTAAATATGTATCAACATTCTCAAATCTATTCTGAAACATATTTTAGTGTACTGTTCAGTTGTAAAATGAGAAAATGTGCTACAGTCAGTGGGCGTTGTTTGATACTTTGGATGACCGTTTCCAATATGGCGCAGGACAGGTCAGAAACTTCCTAATTTTTCAGCTCATCAGTATGCTAAATGTTTCTGGAAACATCTGAGGTGAGAAGTAGGCAATTCAGGAACTGAATCTTGATTCGTATTTAATCAGCGCTGTCTAGTTTAACAGTTTGATTGCAGTTAATGAGCATAATTGACAGCTGCATTAGAGATTCCTGTGCTCCAACTGGTTGTTTTTGGTGCACTGCAATACAATAACAAGATGAAGAGGAAGAGGAGGAGGAGGAGGAGGAGGAGGAGGAGGGACATGAGTTTTTTCCCACAGATCATCTGTCTGATGCACTTGTTGCAGAATATAGTGACAGTAGTAACAAGTATCATGCAAAGTTACTTTTTATGTTACAGAGCTCCAAACTGACTAAACTTAAATTAAACTTAATATTACACGCATCTCTTTATATAACTCTGTCAAATTCAATCATACTACAAATTTCATCCTCCAAAATTACCATAAAATCCTATCAACAAACCCTGAAAATTATGACCTCAAAGAACAGAGAATTTATTGCAGGACTGTTGTATTTAACTGCAGTAGTTAAGCCGGGTGTGCCTAATAAACTGGTAGCCCACTGTATCTTCTGGTTCCATTAGTAAGTTCTTCCTCGATTACAATCATTAATTTGTACTTGACCATGTGTGATGTATTTAAGCGAGTATCAATGTGGCTCAAACCCTTAGCTCTTCACTCTTGGAAAAGTAATTATGATATGACATAACTATGTTTATTTCACTAAAACTAGGTGTATTTAAGTCTCGTTCATCCAATGCCAACCCGTTCGTGAGCAAAAGAGGGAGAAATAACAGCACCGTTAGCATCATCTTTAGCGAAACTGATGAAAGTTAGGTCAATAGCAATAGCCATCAAATAAACATCTTGCTTTGGTTGGCTGCTTGCGAGGCTAGTGAAGTAGATTTAACTTTAACGTCAAAAACGTAATCCTTTAACTCTCGACTTCACAACAGCAGTGACTTTAACTAGCTAGCGTAACGTTACAGTTATCCATGTTGATGACCACGATAAAGCACCGTTAACATTAGTCTTTCCATTTAAGTTCTCAACCAGTTGTGAATAGCTTATTATTTATTGTTGGAATGTGTTGGCTAATTGTTCCCGGTCGTTGTTTCTAATTAACTTATTTTAAACAACCACATAAGCTACTTGTTAGCATCCTCCGAACAGGCCTTTCGTCCACCGGCGCCGCCTTGCTAACACTGTTAGCTAAGCCAGCTAGCTAATGACGCTGAGACCTATGGCTGAGACGGCATGTGACTCCGAGTTACAACGCAATACAGTGTTGTTGGAGTATAAAGGAAACAGTTTCGAATACAAGTCACTATTAGATAATACCGAAATAATTTGCAGCTGTTGAATAAAAGCACAAATTGTCGTTTTCAGGCGGATTTACCTTCGAGATGTGTCTCCCTCTTCGCTCTTTTGTCGGGTTCTTTTTATGAAAACCAGAGAAGCGTTTAAAGAGGGTCTTTAATCAGTGAACCAAAACTCGCCAAAGAAACAAGCAGCGCCGTCAGCAGGCCTGGAGCTAAACTGCAGCTTTATTAGCAGAGGCAGCGGCTGGTGTTAGATTCAGTATTCAGGAAAATTTTGGGGTTTCAGATACAGTTAAAAATGATTTTTTTTTAAATGATGTTTTAGGGCTTATTATTGTATTATAGTCTATACTTAATAAAGGATTCGGGACCCCATACGGAATTCCCCACCAAAATTCCTTTCAGTGTGGAGAACTAAATCTAAATGTTTTAAATGTTTTAGTTGGGGAAAAAAGCTTATTGACCACAATACTAAGCAGTTAAGTTATTGATAAAACTTTATTTTTTATATATATATGTTTATATATGTGTGGGCGAAGTATGGCCATACAGTATCTGCATTAGTAATTGGGGTGTATATAGCCTAGATTTTATTTTATATTTTTTACTTTTATCTAATTTGTATTTTTGTAATATTTGTAATCATATTTAGCACTAATTTAATTTAATTTAATCTTTTATTTTATTCTATTTCATTTTATTTTTTTGCTTCTGAGCTATCTTATCTTATCTTTTTTATTCTTGAAATTTCACTTTATGTACACAGCTACAGCTTCATTGAATACCAACTTTTGTTAAGTTTAGGGAGGTATAGTGGTTAAAAGAGTGATAAACAGAATAATACTGTTTTACTTCAAATTACATCATAGGTTGAATGAGTCCTTCCACATTATAAAGGATGAGTTTTGCATGAAACAAGTGTATTTAGATAAACTTTATTTAAGATGGTTCAGATACCACATTGTCAGAACTAATATTACTGAAGATGTTAATAAAAATGAAGCTGATATGATGTACAGTATGATCACAGTCTTACATACAAACTGGGTGGCATAGCACAAAAATCTGAGCCCCATGCATATGCAGCCTCAGAGGGCCTCTTTTCACCTTTTAATACATCCATCTTAATGCCTGTACATATAACTAAATCAGTAAGTAAACATATACATCTGTGGTGGTCATTAGGCTCATCAATGAGGTGTTTCTAATCTGAAATCTCAGGACTTTTCAGACCATTTTTCTCTACTGTTTAAAGCTTTCACTGTGAGGTTTTAGAACATTATAGAAGATTATTTTGCATTCCTTAAACATTTGATGATGTACTCTCTCTGTCCCCTACCCTGATAATGGATTAGCCTACTGCAATCAGATTTCATAATAAAAGACAACCAAATAACCCTTCACAGTGATTATATTTTATTTGTAGAATTATGGTAAATTAGTTTTATCAATTATTTTACATTCTCGCTAAGGCCAGTCGTCCAAAAATGAGACAGATTTCTTTAAACTGTGTTATTTTGCTCCACAGAAATAAAAATGAAACTCAGACATTTCATCTTGCTTAATCACTTTTTTTTTATTTATTTATTTAAAACATTTTTTTTTACATTTTTTCACAGCATTTAGACAAACAACACACTGAACGTGACTGCTGTTATGAAACGGATGTTAGATTATAGTAGTTGATGACTGAGTATAGAATTTTTTTGTATGTTTCTGACATTGTTGTGTGATCCAGTATCTTGTGCCCCTCCAACTAAACTACAGGAAATCACTCTATGATTTTCCATCAGCAGCTGCAATAAGAATTTCTACATTCTGACTACTTAAACTGGTCTTGTTCCACAGACGAAGGAACGCCTCAGCTCACAGTTCACATCCCCCCACAGGAGGTCATCTGAGAGGCAGACGAGACAGAAGAGTTACAGTTAGTATTATAGAAGTGATATGTTCCCTGCAAAGAGTGAGCTGGTTTCACGAAAGTGTGAAGGTTGTTATCGCACAGTGTTACTGTACCTGGTCGGTTCATCACAACACATTTCTCGCTGTTTTCATGATTGTCAGGCTCAGCCATGCTCCAATCCTGGTAATAAAACCCTGACCCATCGCTCCAGAGCCAAACAAAATCCTGTAAAACGGACAGAATGAATTACTGTCAAACACTTTATTCTTCAGCAAGAAACTCACATTTATTGACAGTGAGATAGGCTCTTAATCTGAAGGGGAGACACTACAGGTACAGAGTATAACTTTTAACTAATAGATATCACCATAAAACTTTCCCAGTTCATTACTCACTTAAGATATTTTTTGTTACTTTTGTTACTAAATATGCAAATGATTCATTATCTAATTTGATATTTGCCTTTTGCATACATCTCCAGAGCAGAAACCTGACCTGAAATAAACTCCTAAATGTGTATTTTGGATGTTTTCTTTCCACTAGTCTGAAAGAGCACGTTATGGAAGGAAAAGCCCAAATTCTCAAAATCATCCACCTTCACCTGTTTTCACCTGCTGTCTCCCCTTAAATTTAATCAGCCTTAATCAGAAAAAGTTTTTGTTCTCTACCTTTATGGCATCATTCCCGCCGATCCAGGCTTGAGGAAAGCGCCCTGTGCTCCCCCTTACAACCTCCTGGATGAATTCATACTCTCCTGGGTTATGCACAGAGGCGAGATTGGCACCGTTACGCACACAGAATTTCTGTAAAAGAAGAGCAGCTTTGAATACATATACATATGTGGATGTATAGATAAACTGGATGGATTTCAATGTGAATATCAGGGAGTGAATGAAGTGTCAGGCTTTACCTCTGCATCTACCCAGGGCACCTCTTTGTGGATGTAGATGAAACATCTGGATCCATATTTGGACCAGCCGGGCGGGCAGCTGTTCCGCTTGGCATCACCCTGAATCTTTTCTATCACCTCCTCCTCCTTCTCCTCTGTCCTGTCTAACATCTTGACTGACCCATCTGGTAGAATAACAAAAATGAATTTATCAAAGACTGGTTCCTTTTATGAAACTGCACAGTGAAATAACATTTAGTGTAATCAGAACAGCAGAAAAAGTGCTGAATGTCACTGTGAAGTTGTTGCAGTTACTTCTCTTACCTTGGTGTGTTTCTGGAGCAGCTGGCTCCTCCTTTACTGGCTCTATTGTGTGAAGAAAGAAGCAAAATTGCAGTTAACAATGTAAAAAAAGCTACTTTTCAGGCATGCATTTGGGCATTAAGATGACGAGATGCACCACCGTTCTTAAGTGTCAAAATCTAAATCAAAACTTAACCAGTCGAGGCTTTTCAAAATATAGAAATCAGATTTCAGTAATGACAATGTATAGATGTGTTGAGTGTTCTGTCTCACCTGCTGCAAGGCTCAGAGCAAAGGTGGCACAGAGAAGAAAAATGGTCCTCATTGTTCACAGTGATGCTGCAATTCAAACATTATCACACAACATCTGGATGTGCAGTACAGAAGTTCAAATGAAACCTCACATCATCATATGCATGAAACCTGGAAGTCTCACCTGCTTCAGTAGTGAAATCTCTCAGCTGAATGTCTGCTGAGGAGCTGCAGAGCTCATTATATACACAAACAATACGGAAATCTGTTTTTATAACACACGTGTTAATGACTGTCATTATCAGTGGAGTTTGATCTCTGTGGTCACATCAATGCAGTCTGAGAGTGAAGAAATATTTGTTTCCAGGACTTCCTCATCATCACCGATCAGATTTTTTTTGCACTGCTTATCTACTGTAATTTTATTTCTTCTGTTGTATTTAGGGCAATTTACAGCTTACTGTCGCTATATTTCTGATCTATTCCATTTGATTTAATTTTATGTATTTTATTCATTTGATTTTTTGAAAGTAACATTTTAATTGACGTCACTCTGGTTTTTATTGCTTATTTAATGACATTATGCTTTTCTTTGCCTATTTAAAGTGCTTTGTGTTTGAAGTGACTACCTACTGTAATTAAAGCTGCTTTGCCTTACTGTTCAGCAGCATTCAGTGGCACCCCCAGAATTTTTTCATAGGGGTGGGGGTGGCACACCAAAGCCAAAAGCCATGACTGAATTTGGTTTGATTATGCTGTTAAAATATAGGCTAAAGGTGAGCTGAAAAACAGGGAATCACACACTGATATATTTTGTCTTCTTATTTTATGGTTAATATTTCTAATTATCTGAGGTGTATAGAATGATATCAGTACAGTTAATGTTCTGAGTTCCACAACAGTCCTGTTTTAATGTGTTATGTATATTAGGCAATTTATAGTTCTTCTAATAGGCTGATTGTCCTTTTTCCTTAAAAAGACAAATATACAGCTTTAATTTGAAGGAGAATATTGATTGTAAGGAACAAGGAATTAATTGGGAGCAACCTTTTTTAAGTTTGAGGGAGTTTGTGGGTACCCACTGATCCAGACATCTTGAGGGAGGAGTTCAAGGGACCCCTTTAATATTGGCCACGACAGTTCTCTAGTCAGAATTGAGAAGAAGAGGACTTATGGCTTACCGTGATGTGACATTGTTGGTTTAAATCCCCAGACTATCAAGTTCTGCTGCAGTTGTGCTCTTGAGTAAAACACTTAAAGGAAATGGCCACTTTAGAATGAAAATACAGACAGTACTTACTGACCCTCATGCCGAGAACAAGTCCAGTGTGGTTTTTTAATCCACAAAACTCGTTCGGGGTTTCGGAGGATAACAGCTAGCCGGAATAGCAGCTACGCTTGAAGTGCATGAAACCCACATTTTGATAATGTATTAAAACTCTGCTAATGCTTTTCAAAAACGTCAGAGCGGCTCGTCCGTCGTAATTCAAGTGTCCTGAAGCCGCAACATGAAAAATTGACTTGAAAAGACATAATTTAAGACTCAAGAATTAGCACCACCACTAGCCACCAGCTAGTCTCATGCAAGTTGCCATGTAAACACAGCGCGTCTGCAGGGCAGGCTAACTGACCACGGTGAGAAATGATGTTATAAAAGTGGAGTAAAATACGTCTTTTCGAGTCAATTTTGCATCCCGTGGCTTCAGGGCACTTGGATTATGACGGACGAGTTGTTCTGACGTTTTTGAAATGCATTAACAGAGTTTTATTACATTTTCAAAATGTGGGTTCCGTGCACAAAAACCGTCTAGCTGTTATCCTCCGATACCCCGAACGAGTTTTGTGGATTAAAAAACTACACTGGACTTCTTTTCGGCATGAGGGTCAGTAAATACTGAGGCCATTTTCTTTAATACCTGTCTGTGCAGCAGCAGGGGGGAGGTCACAGCCCCAATGTGGAGAATGACATGAATCATGGATTGATGACTGAGTGGGCCCACTGGACACAGGCCCAGGGACCCAGAGTGTCAGGGGGCCTCTTAAATGTTACTGAAATTAACACATGCTGACCAGTAAAAGACTCAAAATGACCACAGAGAGACACAAACAGACCTCAAAGAGATGCAAAGAAACTGCAAAGACATACAAAAAAGCTATAAAGATGGGCAAAAGAACCTGAAAAAGACACAAAACAACCACAGCAAGACACTAAATGACCAAAAAAAAAAAAGAAAATTTCATCAAAGTGACACAAAATGACCAAAAAAGATGGACAGATACCTCAAAGCAACACTACATTACCTCAAAGACACAACCACACCTTAAAGAGACACAAAGAGTTGCAGAGAAACAGCAAAAACACAAAATAGTTACAAAGACAGGCAAAACAACCACAAATGACACAAAACAACCAAATAAACAGAACAAAAAATTAACTTTAAGTGACACAGAAGTACCTTAAAAACACACAAAATGACCAAAAAAGATGGAAAATGAACTCAAAGCAGCACAAAACTACCTCAAAGAGACAGAAAATAAACTCAAAGAGACAGAAAATGACCAGAAAAGATTAAAAATGACTTCAAAACAACACCATATCACATCAAAGTGATGCAAAAAATTGTTTAACAACCACAACAAGATGCAAAATCACCACAAAGTCTGTGTGTCTTGGTCCTATATAAGACAGGTGCTGGGGCCTTTGCGTATCTGTACCCAGGGGCCCACTGCCTCATAATCTGCCCATGGCTTGAATAAATCCTACTTTTTATTAACAAAAAATATCAGTGATTAAAATTTGTGAATGCACATTTTAAAAATGTCAGCAACAGGTGCAAACTGTCTGTATGTTATGGGTTTGCTGTCATCACCATCTCGAAACAAAATCAAAGCAAATATAAAACATACCTGGAAACACTCTGGAGACTGTCCGTAACTTACCGTTTCATGAGTCTTTGATTGTTTCTAAATTGAATTTTGGGAATCAACAACTGAAGGTCAACAGGAAAAGAATATGACAGCTAATAAAGTGTTGTAAGAAAAAAGGAGCCAAGTTATCAGTGTCACTGGGTCCAGAGTCAAGTAGGACTCATGAAAAGTGAATGTTCAGATTGACATTAATTAATATTAATCTGAGGTGATATGAAATGACCGTCAGTCGGGTGAGAGATCTGACAAGATGACCGTAAACGCTCACGCATACACAGTCACAAACAGCACAATTAATTATCAGTTTTACGTCAGTGGATAAATGATCTGATGCCCTTCATCCAGCAGTTCAGCCTGAGCAGGTGTGACACAGCTTTTAGGATCCAGTAACACCAGTAAAGTGCTAGGAAATCTGCATCTTTAAAACACACTTATCAGAGTGTTTACTGGTTTATTATGAAAACTGCCAGAACTTCAGATAAACCTTTGTTGATCTGTTTAAATCTAGATTAACAGTAAAGGCAGTCATAGATATCAATCACAATAACAGTAATGATTTTATGGGAAATAGGTCACAAACTGTGGATGAACTTTGTTGGCTGAAATGTACAATAATAATAAGTGTTGAGATAATGTTTAATGATTGATGTCCGATAAAAATTACTAATTCTGAAACTGAAACAAAATTTTAATATAACTGGGACAACACAAATATAGGCTAAGGTAATTTACTATCAACACAAGGTTAGTCAGCTGAGACTTTTATTTCATTCTTTTTTATTCCTTAAACTCATATTTATACCACAATACTGTGCATAATGGATCTATACACGTTGTTTATAGCATAGCTGTTTAAATGTACTAATATTAGTATTACTTGAACTTGCACATGCACTATATATTTTCTACTTCTACCTGCACTGTAATTAGGGGTGTTGTAGTGGAGGAAAAGTGGGACTGATTACACAGGGCCCCATGTGGAGTAGGGAAGGTGGGGGACTCCAAAAGTCTGGAATGAAAAGTTTGGTTTTGTTTGCTATTTTTTTTTATGTCAAAGTGATTAGTGCCATAACTACATTAAAGGCTGAAATAAAATGATTAAAAGATTAAAATTATTCAAAAGATAGGCCCCTCTCACCCCATTAAGACGCAAAATGGTTTAGCCCGCCCCTGCACTGGGATTGATCTTTCAATGTACCAAAGAGTACCAAAAAAGAAAAGAAAGCATCCAAAGTGATTTTGTGAAAAAAAATTAAAGGTGTGTAAGGGAGACATGAATCAAGAGAGGAAGGACGGATGGGGGGGCACAGAGACTACTAACGCACAGGGCCCAGAATTTTGTGCTAAGCCCCTGACTGTAACTGATGCACATGTCCATAATACTGCATATATCTTGGTGTATTCACATCTACCCCTTACTGTTTATTTATAGATGCCTTTATACACATTACTCTGCACGTTTACTGCTTTTTGTTCCAAAATGTTTTTTCCCCAACAGCTGTCGGCAGTCACACCAGCTGTGCAGGAGCCAAAAGTCAGAATGACACCAGCAGCTTCCCAGAAGAGGAAGAGAAGAAGAAAGGCAGGAAGAGAAGGAGGAAGGGCCCTGAAAACGGATCGTCTTCTTCCCCTGCATCATGTAGTGTCTGTATCATTACTTACACCTTATTTTTGGTAAGTTCTTAATTAAACCTTCTTTGATGAGTGTGGAGGAAAGATACACACACACATCCTGTCAGTCATGTGTCTTGTTAATTTTACTGAAATAAACCCAACAAAGGAGCCACAACAGAAATCAGAAAATGAACAGTAGTAGAGTAGTGGTGCAGAAGGATTTAATATTGTTGATTTATTCAGTATTTGCCTCACTGCAGTTTGTGTTCACTTATTAGCAGTAAGTCAAGTAAATATACAAATTGAATATAAAATAAGATTCATTTTCCTTGAGCTGCATTAATTCTCCTCATCAGCATTTTGCTCGCTTATGAATATAGATGAGTCAAGCTAAACTACAGAGGTCATGCTTTATTATTACCTTGTATTTTATGATGTTTACCACAGTAATCATAGAAGGTAGAAGTCATATTATTTAAAACCAAACACCCAAATGATCATAAATCAGTCCAGCAGTTATCTACCTGCCTGCTATTTCATTCA